GCTAATGAGGGTCAAATTGCCACCAGATGTTGCTTCTTTCTTTCTCTTTTTTTTTAAATAAACACAGCTGTGTACATGTGTGTAAAGGCAATATAGAATTCACAGTGGGCAAGAAATGTGGTTCTTTAGAAAACATTTACAGGCCATAAAGGGGAGAATCATCTGGAAACTAATGAATTCCCATCCCACCTTTCAATTTCATTTCAAACCAGGGCTTTGAAATGGCTCATTCTGGGCCAATCCCCTGGTGAGAATTTGCATTTCCATTCCAGATATACTGAGTCAGAAACCATGGTGATTATCACCTGGGGGGTCTTGTTGAGCCATAGATTGATTGAGTATATCTGGGTTGGAAAAGCAAATTCTCAGTAGGAGGTGGAACCAGAATCAATTGGTTCAAAGCCCTGTTTCAAACCTATTAAAACACATGGAACTCGGTGTTGTGAACATGCTGTATACTCGTGTATTAGATACTATATCAAAGAATCACTTATGACGTGGGGAACTTTCTCCCAAGTAAGGGCAATAAAGAAAAAATGATTTGGAGACAGTTGGTCACCACCAACCTGACTATTCTGTGATGTCTTCCTGGAGGAAGGCCAGGAACCAGCTTGAAGTCTCCCAATCTCTAGCTGCACGAGCCCTTGAGCACACTTGGGAAGGTAAGAAAAGGACAGAAATAATGAACAATAGTTTTAGGTTCTAAACCATATAACACAGCCTCTACTTAATCCTGCAGTCAAGAATAGGAAATGGGTGATGATGGCAACAGAGGAAAAGGAAATCCAGTAACCAATTAAGTAACAAAAATTTAAACACACATCAGTATTCATCTTCCTAACTTGTTGACAACATGGACCTAAAAGAACCGGATTTCAATTCATCCCTTTTCTCTTCCTCAGCTTTCCTTTTGTTGGACATACTCATGAGCGGTAAAATAATTAAGTCAAAGTGGAGAATGGGAGGACAGAAAAGTCACAGATAATCTACAAAAACAAATCCTCTCAAATAACAAACAAAGTTGACTATCAGGTTTAAAAGTCAACAAATGTGTTTGTCTTTGCAAAAGCTTCCACTGTTCTTTATGATACACAAAATAAACTGTAAGCCATTAATGCTTTCAGTTGCTAACCAAAAGGCTGAAGATTTAAGTCCTCCAAAAGGTGTCTCGGAAGAAGGGTCTGGTGATCTACTTCAAAAAATCAGCCACTGAAAACTCTATGGAGTAGTAGTTGTACATGGAAAAAACACTGAGTTGCTGTGACAATGGGTTTCATAGAGCTGAATGTAAATTGAGAGTTTTTATTAAGCAGTTTCATCCATGGGAAGTAGGGTTCATGTGGTAGAGACACTTGGAAGTGAATTTTGAAGTTCACTGAGAGATAGCTTAGGTGGAAGGAAAACCACTCTACTATTGCAACTTGGGTATGTCATTTTTCTTCTCAATTTCAATCTTTAATGTTCTCCTGAACAATAAGGAGCTCTGTTAGCGTAGTGGTTACGAAGCGGGCTGTGAACTGCAAGTCAGCTGTTCTAAATTACCAGCTGCTCTGCAGGAGAAAGATGAGGCTTTCTGCTCCTGTAAAGATTTACAGCCTCGGAAACCCTGTACAGGGTCGCTATGGGTCGGAACCGACTCGACAGCACTTAACAACAACAACATGGCAACTTGGGTATGTCATTTTGCTTTTCAGTTTCTATCTTTAATGTTCTCCTGAACAATAAAAGCTGAGTTTGATGAATTTATGACAATATGCTCCCTGACAAAGCTCCAAAGGGAGGAGAATGAGTTCAGTTACAAGAAGTGACCATTTAATCAAATGCATTTAGAGGACAATTGGGCGTTTTTGGAATTCTCACAAGTATTGAAAACTAGATTAAATGTTCCAAGGCAGATTGTCTTACAATATTGTCAGTCAATATAACAGAGCTTTCATTGAAAGCTTTTACTGATAGTTTAAAGCAATCAAAGATTGTTGTTGTTGTTGTTAAGTACAGTTGAGTCAGTTCTGATTCATAGCAACTCAGTATAGGGTCTCCAAGAAGTGGCTGGCGGGCTTGAACAACCAACCTTATGGTTAGCAGTCTAGTGCTTATTCTACAGCATCATAATCCAATCAAAGATTAGACTTCTAGAAAAACATGTAGTTGTCCGGTGCCATCGAGTCGGAACCGACTCATAGTGACCCCATGCACAGCAGAACGAAACAATGTCCGATCCTGGGCCAACCTCACTACCGCTGCCACACTTGACGCCATCAATGATGCCACCTGGCTGATCCATCTCGTTGGGGGTCTTCCTCTTTTTCTCTGACCCTCCACCTTACCCAGCATGACATCCTTCTCCAGCGACTGTTCTCTCCGGACAATGTGTCCAAAATATGAGAGACAAAGCCTAGCCATCTTGGCCTCCAAGGAGCACTCTGGTTGCACTTCTTCCAAAATAAATCTATTGGTTCTTTTGGCAGAAAAACATGAGTCATCATAAAATCCAACCTACTTTATAATCAACATAGATTTCTAGAAGAGTTCTCCCACTGGACTTGAGTTTTACTGGCTAGGCAGAAAGCAGCTAAGGGACTCACCTTCAGGATAGTGGCCACAGTTTCCTGTGAGGCATTTCTCATGTCCTCTCCATTCACAGATAAGATCTGATCTCCCTGAATCAACCTCCCATCAAGGTCTGCAGCTCCGCCTTTCACAATGTCAGAAATGAACACTCCACTTCCATGTCTGTTAATGCCACAAAGCAGCGAGGTGTCAGCACAACGTAATCTTTCTTTATTAAATCTGAGATTAGTGACATCCTATCTAGATGCCCCAAATCCTAAAACTTGGAAGGAAGGGCCTGACATGCCAGATAATCCAGTAACATTCACCAGCTTCCCAAATGATAAACTTCAGAGCGCTAATCTGTTAAATTGTTTATGCCTATTTATGCTGTCTATTGTAATGTTCGTTCTAATTGGTCCAAGGGTATGATTCTGCTAAATGATAATTTTAGTGAAGTAAAATGGAAATGCACATTAAAAGGCATAGCTAAGTCCTCTTAAAAATGATAGGTTATTTCCCTAGAGATGATTGGCACAATTAGGATCACTCTTCTGTAAAGTGTGCTGTACTGTGGTGGCTTGTGTGTTGCTGTGATGCTGAAAACTGTGCCACCAGTATTTCAAAGGCCAGCAGGGGTCATCCACAGTGGAACTTCTATAGACTAAGATAAGCTGAAAAGAAAGATCTGGTGACCTAAGTCTGAAAAACATCGGCCAATAAAAACCTTATGAGTAGCAGTGGGACATCCATTGATAAATGGATGTGGTGTGGTGCTGAGGGTGACTGGACTGCAAAGTCAGTGTGAACCGCAAGGTTGGCAGTTCAAGTTCACCAGCTGCTCCTTGGAAACGCTATATAGGGTCACTATGGGTCGGAACTGGCTCAATGGCACTTAACAACAACATTGACGGTGGTGGTGGTGTGCCATGGAGTCGGCTCCAACTCATAGCGAGCAACCCTGTATAGAGTTTCCGAGGCTGTAAATCTTTATGGGAGCAGAAAGCCTCTTTCTCCCGTGGAACAGCTGGTAGTTTCGAACTGCTGACCTTGAGATTAGCAGCCTGATTTGTAACCACTCTGCTACCAGAGCTCCTTACATCCATTGATAGAGTTCCAGAAGATAAGCCCCAGGCACTCCAAATATGAGGGGCATAGGAGAGGCGGAGATTGCCTCCTAAAAGTTGAGTTAACCTGAATGAAGTGACTGGAATAAAACTTTCAGGACCGTCACTTGCTGCTGTGTTCATAGCTTGAGTATCTCCAAGAAACATACTGGGTACAAAAAAGCAAATTCATATGTGTGTGTGGATAACTAAAAGAACATACACATACATACTTTTTCTTCCAGTTTTGTTCTCTTTAAATTTGCTTTTTTCACTTAGTATGGTTGATGGCTGGTCTTTATCAGCACTTGGAGATTCTTTATTTTCTTTAATGGCTAGATCATAATGGACTCCTGGTGTGGTGCTGTAGGATAAGCACTGGACTGCTAACCACAATGTCAGCAGTTCAAGCCCACCAAGCTGCTCCTAGGAAACACTATACAGGGTCATTATAAGTTGAAACCAACTCCATGGCCCTTAACAACAAGCATAATAATTAGCCTGTAGATATTCCATAATTTCATTTATCAGTCATCTACTGATGTACTATAAGTTATTTCCAAGCTTTAGTGATTGCAAACAATGTGCAACAAATAACACATATGTGCATTCCTAGTCATAGGACTGCTTGTCAAAAAGTGAACTGTAAGTTTTGAGAGTTGTACATCTGATCTTTTGCAATGAAAATGTCTGTGCTAAGGACTATAAGGGTTCCTTATGAATGGTGGGTTATGAAGATTCTTTTATTGATCTACTTCTAGTTATTAAGAGCTGTTGAGTTAGTTCTGACTCAAAGCAACGCTGTCCAAGAAGTGACTGGTGGGTTGGAACCACCAACATTACAGTTAGCAGTCCTTGTTTATCCTACAGTGCCACATCAGGACTCCAGTTTTAACATAGTATGAAATTAATGCTCTGTGTGAAGTGGCAGAGCAAAATCAGCATTGTGTAAATCTGCCTCTTTTCTTGCTATTGGGTGTTCCATAGGGATGCCAACCGTAATTAACACCTGGCCAGCCTCAGCTTTTGGGGATTCCAGGCTGAAAAATCTAGGTGACGCTATCTTTATTCCATAAGGAATAAAAGCCTAAAGTTTGGGTGGTTGGGCTTGGAGTTCTATCTTCATGGGACATTTATGTGTATGTGGGGGTGGGGGGTGGGAGGGTAGATAGGGTAGGGGGAATAGCTTGCTCAGAAATATGACCTATGTTATTCAAACATTCATGAAATTTCAAATTTGAGAAATAATATATATAATTAGTCTAGGTTAGCTTTAGCGTTCAGTGTTTATCAGCAGTGGTCCCTAGAACGCTGATGAAAAAGTCAATCCTGACTTGTATTTCTTTACCGTTTACCAACAATGCTCAGGCCCAGTCCTCGGCCGCTCTTCTTCTGCAGATCCACAGGAAAAATGTCTAAGTTTTCCTCATCCCTGTAGTGTGCCTCGTCTCTGTACACCACCAGGCGCACCTTCTGGGGGGTATGCCTCAGGGCTGTGATGGCCTCCTCGTGGCTGGCGTTCCTCAGGTCAACTCCGTTCACCTGCAATGATGGGTACTGATGATGGGCTGCTGACAGCAGACGCCTCTTTGCCGGTGCATGCTTACCGGAGCTCCGTGATCCAAACAGTGGAAAATCTCTAAGACATTCCCAGCCACTCTCAAATCACACAGGGCCCTAGCAGTAGTAGCTGTTTTATATATAAAGGAGGTGATCCTTCACTGCCCTCACCCAAGCATACCCCAAATCACATTGAAGAGGCTTCTTGTTAGGTGCCATGGAGTCAGTTCCGACTCATAGCGACCAAGGCTGTAAATCTTTATGGGAGCAGAAAGCCTCATCTTTCTCCCGCGGAACAGCTGGTAGTTTCAAACTGCTGACCATGAGGTTAGCAACCCGATTCGTAACCACTATGCTACCAGAGCTCCTTCAGAGAAGGGGCTAGTATGCATGAAAATGCATGTTTGTACTGCTCTGAATTTACTACAGAATCAATATGAATGAGAGAGAGCAGGGTCTAAGCAGCTCACTTAACTGAGACCAAAGGGTAACTAATGTTAGTAGTTTCAGATCCAGCTTGTTTACTAGATTCGACATCCAACTGTGAACATCTTAGTGATTTCATAATGGGCCCAAGTATTTCCAATCCCATCCAAGATTCCCTGAAATTCTCTCATGGGAATCTGGACACTAGCAAGCAGAAAGGACTAGATATCAGTTAACTAGATGTTGTTAAGTGCCGTCTAGTTGGCTCCAACTCATAGTGACCCTGTATAGAGTTTGCAAGGAGTGGCTGGTGACTTTGAACCACTGACCTTGTGGTTCAAATCGACCTTGTAATCCAGTGTTTTATTTCACAGCACCATACTGCAAACACCAATGACTAAAGTCAAAGCTCTGCTTATTGTGAGTCTTATGAATTGTGGTACGGTGTGTAACCTCTCTAAGGCTGTGATTTCCTTTTTGATTACACAGACATCACAGTCAATGGATACATTTAATTAAAAATTCATATAATGCATATATACTAGCCCTTGATGAAATTTAATCATTATACTAATTCTCTGAAATAGATAATGCTATTATATAACTGCTATTATATTTTACAGATGAGGAAACTGAGGTATGGTGAGGCTTAAAGGACTTGGACCAAGGTTATGCAGCTGGTGGAGGAATCAAGATTTAAACCCAGACAATCTGGTTCCACCTTTAACCTGTATATTAAGCTGCCTCACAACTTACCCTTAGACTGGCCTATTGGACTCTACTGCCCCAAAGAAAGCGACATCCTGATGTTGATTAATCAATAAGGGAGAAATTGAGGTGCAGAGGATCCCAGGACTCTGAGGGATGGAGTCATGTAATCTTCATGGTCACAAGTGGGGAAAAAAACCAGAGAAGGGTGGGCTCTGGCGGATGGCAGACTGGAAGAGTTCCTCCAAGATGCCGTTTTCCCTTGTCCTGGTCCTGCCATGTGTGCTCTCAGCATGTCAAGCCTACCTCTGAACCGCGGTTCCTTCATGGCTACCATGATGGACAAGTCTAGGGCCTTTTCCAATTCTAGCATTCTAAAGACTATGGACAGGTACAGAGCAGAGAGAAAAATGAAATGAAACTGTCTTGAAGAAAGTGACTATTTAAAAGTTAATTTTCTGAACCAAGAAAATGTGCAAATATCTTAGTTTCAAGCTTTTTCTTATCTGGTATATATTGGTGGGCTTGGGTACCCACTTAGGCTAATTATACCCAGACTAACAGTGGTTAAGAACAAGAGTTTTGTACCTAAATGGACTTTAAATTCTAGTGCCAATTCCAACGTACTGGCTGTCATGGATTGAACTAAAATATATGTAAGAGTCCTGGTTGTGGCACTGTAGGATCAGCACTGGACTGTGACCCACAAGATCAGCAGTTCAAACCTACAACTGCTCCTCGGAAACCCTATGAAGGGTCACTATTAGTCAGAACTGACACGACGGCACTTTAACAACAACAACAATTAACCACAAGGTAGGTAGATGGTTCAAATCCAAAAGCCATCCTTTGAAAGCTCTATGACAGGGTCACTGTGAGTCTGAACTGACTTGACAACACTTAACAGCAACAAGTATGTGTCCGTTTGGCTGGACCACAATTCTCAGTGGTTTGGCAGTTATATGATGATCCCTCGTGATGGGATCGGATGAAATCAACCAGTAAAAGGATTAAGGGTGGGATTGTTGTTGTTCTGTTCAGCGACTCTGTCTAGGATTTCCACCTTTAATCCCACTATGACCCTAATCTGATATATGGAAGATTCCTAAGAGTGTGACATGCGTGTCTTTTATCTTAGAGGAGCTAAGAGGAGAGATGCGTGAGCAGAAAGGTAGGGACTCACTACCACCAAGAAAGAAGAATTGGGAATGGAGTCTGGGATGTGTGAGGTCAAGATACATGAAGATCTCCGAGGAATGCTGGGTCTACAGATACTGAAAGGAGACAGGGACCTTTCCACACTCAGTCCTCTGAATTCAGACTTCTAGCCCCCAAGACTGTGACAAAGTAAACTGCTGTTTGTCCAAGCCGTCCACTTGTGGTATTTCTGCTATAGCAGCACTAGATTACCAAGACATTGGCGATGTAAAACCTTGGGCAAATAGCTTCAGCTAAGCTACAGTTGTGGCGTCTATGAGTTGCTGATGATAATCATCATCACCATTAAAAACAATTACTACTTAGTGGTGTGAGGACTGATTGAAATAAATCCTGCAAAACATTCTGCACTGGGCGTGGCATACATTTAAGCTCAATACAAATTAGAAGTTCGTATTTCACAATGAACTCAGGAAACTGCAGTCAGTCTGCTTTCTCTCTGCATGGGTATTCACTCTGACTTTAGGTCAATGAGTGCATTCTTATAATTAACAATGTACACTTGCTGAACAAAGTGGAAAACAGAGTCTCTAGAAAACGTGGTCTCAGCTGATTAGTTTCCAGTATTTCAGTAGCTGGCACACAAGATCATTCACTCAATGCAGACAAGTGACTTCCAAAGAAAATAAAGTTACCTTTGTAGGTTGAAGGTAAAGTTTCTAAACCACTAAATATTTTTTAAGAAGACCCGTCCAATTATATTTTGAATTAAAAGCACTGTCATTAAACTCTAGCATTACAAAAGCAATTTCTCCTGAATTCCAGCATCAAGAGGTGTACTCAAATCAGAGTTATCAGTTCCAAACTCAGTTTCAATTCGTAACTCTACTTAGCAGAGACACCATGGAACGTGTCATGAGGAAATTAATGCTGTGTGGTTTGAATGTTGTGGAGTGATTTACTAGGTGCTTTCCAGAAGCACTATAAGCATTATTTAGAGCATTGATTAAAGAGGAGTAAGGAGCTCTAGTAGCGTAGTGGTTACGAAAGGGGCTGCGAACCTTAAGGTCAGCGGTTCGAAACTACCAGCCACTCCGCGGGAGAAAGATGAGGCTTTCTACTCCCGTAAGGATTTACACCCTCGGAAACCCTGTACAGGGTTGCTATGGGTCGGAACCGACTCGAAGGCACTTAACAACAACAACAACAAGGTGGTAATAGCAGAGCTATCGGGCAGATGAAGAAAGGAGCTCTGGTGGCTTGTGAGGTGAGTTATGAGCTGGGCTGCTAATTGCAGGGTCAGCAGTTTGAATCTACCAGATGTTCCATGGGAGAAAAAGGAGGCTTTTTTGCTTCCATAAATATTTACAGCCTTAGGAATCCTATACAGGGTGGGAACTGGCTCAACGGCACACAACAACAGGTGTATGAAGAAGTGTATGAACCACTGTTTTGGAAGGGAAAGATAATCAATTTAAGGCAGTTGTTGTTATTAAGTGCTGTCGAGTTGATTCCAACCCATAGTGACCCTGTATAGGGTTTCTGAGGAGCAGCTGGTGAGCTTGAACCACTGACCTTGCAGTTCAAATGGATTTGTAGTCTGGCGCATTAACCCACAGCGCCATACCAATTCCTCATTATTCCATTCCACGGGGAAAGTTTAGTATTAACCTTCTGTTCATTCTGCTCCCATTTGTACTAAGATGTTGTTAAGTACTGTTGAGTTGGTTCCGACTCATAGTGACCCTGTATGGGTTTCCAAGGAGTGGTTGGTGAACTTTGAACCACAGACCTTGAGCTTTGTACTCCTGTACTAAGATACTGAAGGGGCTCTGGTAGCATAGTGGTTATGAATCAGGCTGTGAACCGCAAGGTCAACAGTTCAAAACTACCAGTTGTTCTGTGGGAGAAAGATAAAGCTTTCTGCTTCTGTAAAGATTTACAGCCTCGGAAACCCTGTACAAGGTCACTATGAGTTGGAACTGACTCCATGGCACATAACCAACCCATCGACTAAGATACAGGAGGATAATGGGAGTATGGGTAGAGTCTGGGGAGGAACCAACACTAAAAGGAGAATCAAACAGAAGACTTAGTCCATGCCAATCATAGATTGATTCATAAATCTTCTCATGCTAAAACATTATTTGACTATTTCTGAAAGCAAATCTGACTTGGCATTAAAAGCATGGAAGGCCAGCTTGTAGAATGCAAAGCACCCTTATGAGTGGAAAGGCCAGTGAAAGAAAAGACAGAAGGTTGCCTTGTTTCCTGGTCTCAACTCTCCTGTCAAAGCTGGCCTGCCCTCCTCTCAGAGGGTAATCTTCAGGCCACTGGCTACTTAGGCACCTGCATACAGTGGCCACAGCCAGAACAGGTTCAAAGGTGGGGGTCTAAAGCTACTTAGGAAGTGTGCTGCCTGAGCAAACTGAGAACTGTCTTTTTGATCTCAGCACACTGTATGTGCATGCTCTCATATACTACAGAACCCGTCCTCATTATGTGAAATGACAAGTGCAAATCATCTATCCAGATTGGGTAATATTACCTGGGAAAGGGTTTACTTGACCTTTTTAAATTCTCCTTTCACTTGAAACAAATTTGCTTTCTTCATACTAAACTAGTGAGTGATCACTTATATATCAAAGTACAAGAAAGCAGAGAGCAGTACAAATGAGGGGCTGCTGACACAGATTTAATTTTTTTTAACATTTAATGAGAGTTATTAAAATACACAGTACATATCTAAAATGCATAATTTGATAGGCTTTGAAATATGTGTATTATATAGCAGTGAAACCAACACCACAATCAAGATAATGAACATATTTAGGTTGACGTGACCATAAAGAAATATTCCTATGAGTACGAAGGGATATGGCACAGTGGGCTACTTATCGGGCTGCTAACTGCAAGGTCAGCAGTTTGAATCCACTACTTGCTCCAGGGGAGAAAGAATGGGCTTTCTACTCCCATAAAGACTACAACTTTGGAAACCCTATAGTTTTTTGAGCTCTGGTGTTGCTCTGTAGGATAAGCACTGGACTGGTAACTGCAAGGTCGACATTTCAAGCCCACCAGTCATTCTCAGAAACACTCTACCTGGTCACTATGAGTTGGAACTCATTCAACAGCACACCACAAGTCTCAGATGGTTTAGTCTATTTCATTTTATCAAGCCAATTATGATAACATCAGATTAGGGAATCTAGGCAAAAAAAACAAAAATAAAAACTCCTAATCACTAAAAAACAGCACTGTAAGGTAAAACAGTCCTGCCAATTCCCAAAGAGGCCTAACTTATTTTCCTAACCTCTACACTTGTACCTTAATGAATGTCCTGGGAATTTATCCTAAGCTAATGATGAAGCACAGTAAAGACCTGCAGGAGAAACCTTATAACTTGCCCTGAGTTTAATTTGCAGTCAGCCTGACCTCTCCTTTAACCCCTTCTTGTCTATATTTTCTGCCCTTAATTATATCTCCGGTTTCATCTTGGGAGGCAGAAATGAACCACCAAAGGGGAAAATAAAATTCTATGATTTCATTCCTAATGTACTATATTAAACCTGCAAAGCAAAATGCACATGCCCACCATAAAATGTTAACTATTCAATTAAATTCATCCAATGAAAAAAGTAAATGTTGCCTAAAGGTTTCACATCACAGAAAAGCTCTTTAGTTCCACCTACCAGATCTCCTGGCGTTGATGTTCCATTCATCCATTCCCTAGCTCACACACTGCAATGCTTTGGCACTTTTTAAAAGGCTTTAATGCCTATGCTAAATAAGAGTCAATTTGAAAGAGTCAAGTTACAGCATTTCCACTTTTAATATGTACCATATACCAACTCAAGGAAGGAGGTTCTATATTTTCATCAACTTGAAAACATAGGTGGCAAGGTGTTAACCTCCTTTTGATACAGAGATTTTATTAGTATTAAGAAAATAGTTCTGAACCTTCAATTATGTCTTTAAACAATAATGTCTGTGTGTGTATATAAATTTGTGCTTTTAGGAGGGATTTTAGGAGGGAATACATAAAAGAGATGTGAAAAAAATAAACTGAAATAATACAGTCTCCTTTGTTATTTGGCACAGTGGCAGCAGCAAGGGGCTCAAATGTAGCAATCGTTGTGAAGTTAGTGCAGAACTGGGTAGTGGTGCGTTCTGTTGTGCACGGGGTCGCTATGAGCTGGAGCCATCAACAGCACCTAACAACATTTGATGTTTCAATTTTTAGAATCTTACTTATCATTTTTTACTTTTTAATAAAAGTTTTGATTCTAAACCAGGGAGTTGTTCAACATATAATTAAAAAAAAAAAAATAGAAGAAGATGATGACGATATATGTTATTATAAAATGGAAGTGAGATAAGGGAGAATATAGTTATTTTTGTTCTCTGCCATCAAGTCGGTTTCAACTCAAAGAGACCCTGTATAGGGCTTGAACCAGCGACCTTAAGGTTAGAAGTCCAGTACTTATCCTCTAGTGCCACACCAAGGCTTAGAGTTGAGTTGGTGGTGGTGGTGTGCCATGGAGTCAGTACCGACTCATAGTGACCCTGAATAAGGTTTCCAAGGCTGTAAATCTTTATGGGAACAGACTTGCTGATGTTGTTGTTAAATGACATGGTAAAACACATTTAATAATTTAATAAATTGACTTTGTGGCTCAAGTCAGCAAAGGGAACATATCTACTGGTATATAATAGAATTTAAAATCACATACCTCTAATATCTGGTCACCAACCCAAAGTCTTCCATCTCTGGCTGCTGCTCCTTCTTCATAGACCTCATGAATAACTATAGCATCCTATAAAACACAAAGTGATGTTAGTCTACAACCACCACAAATGTTTCCTTGAACATTCAACCAAACAGCAGGCAACAACAACAAAAATTTCAATTTACTAATAATATTGTATTGTATCTAACATAAAGAAAAGTAAGATACACAGTTATGATACATTCACAGCTACAATTAATCTTTTCGAAGTTTACTGTTTCATTCCTACAGAACTGGTTCTGCCTAATATTTCATATTAAACGTCTTCCATGTGTTTTACAGTTAACCTTGTACATCGCTGCTATGCATGAACTTGAAATGAACTCTGTGTCATTCTTATATATATTTTATGGTATATTTTGAAACATGGTTTCAAGTATTTATGGGTGTTCAAGGTTTTGGCATAGATGGGTGACCTGATGAAGGGGACTCACCAATCCTCATTACTTAGGCAATGAAAGAAAAGAATTTAATGGAATCAAGTGGCCCAGGAAGGCACAGCATAGAGGAGGGGAAATAGTCATGTGTTCTAATCCTGACTCGGCCATTGTGCAATCCTGGGAAAATACATTCCTCTGAATTCAGCATTCTGAACCATAAATCAAGATCACAATATATAACATAGGTAACCTTTGAGGTATTTCATGCTAATGAATTTTTAAGAAAAACACCATCAAGCAAACCCCCAACAAAGTAATTTGCATCTCTTCAAATTAATAATCTTAAATTTTTATCATCATAAAAAGTAACACATACCTATAGAAAAGAATGAAGTAATACCAGAGCATGCTATGTCATAAAACCATCACTGACAAGTTCCAAAGGAGGACCCCCTCTAGGAATTTTAGATTTACATACGTAAGCATTTATGTATTTTGGTGAGAACATTTACAATTATTAAATGGTTTGCTCATACTAGTTTCCTCTTTTCCCATATTGAACAGGGTAGTCAAGCTTTGAAATGGTTTGCTGGGGATTTTTGTAAAGCTGAAATCTGAAACAACCAAAAGTCAACAATTCTGGTTGTGGTTTTGTTTTTAAGAAAACTGAAACACACTGAACATTTGGGTTGAATGGATTTTGTTATTTGCACTGGAGGGAGAGGAGAAAGAACTTATGAGTGGAAACTAGAAACAGATACTGTGGATCCCATAGTGGTGAAAACTTGAGTCCCCAAACAGCCAGGCATCTTTTCTCTCTAAGCTATTCACACACACACAAAAGCCAGTTTCTGTTCAGTCAATTCCACCTCATGTGTTGCAAAAATAATTGTGTTGTACAGGGTTTTCAAGGCTGTAATCTTTCAGAAGCAAATTGCCAGGTCTTTCTTCAGAGGTACCTCTGGGTGGGTTAGTAACGGAGTTTTTGGTTAGCAGTCAAGTTAGTTTTGACTATGAATGCTTAACCTTATGCATCCCCAGGGATGCTTCTCACTGCCTGTTGAGTTGTTCAGTGCCGGTCAAGTTGATTCAGTCCCATAGCGAACCTGTATAGGGTTTCCGAGGAGCAGCTGGTGAGCCTGAACCGCCAACCTTGCAGTTCAAACGGTTTTGTAGTCTGGCGCATTAGCCTACAGCTAGGACTCCTCTCCCTGCCTGTTGTTGTTGTTGTTAAGTACCATGGAGTCGGTTCTGACTCATAGTGACCCTGCACAGGGTTTCTGAGGCTGTAAATCTTTATGGGAGCAGAACACCTCATCTTTCTCCCGCTGAACTGCTGGTAGTTTCGAACTGTTGACCTTGAGGTTGGCAGCCCAACTCGTAACCACTATGCTACCAGAGCTCCTTATAAGCACACAGGTTGTAATACCCTGCAGGCAATAGTCAATGACGGTCTTGATGATGGCCAGGGTTGACTAGTGACAATGACCATGGGCAGTTCTCAATGTCTGAGTGTTTTGTTAAGAAACTATGACCCCAGTAGTAAACGAACCACAAACAAGACTGGGGCTGACATTGTTCTTATTCCAGAAGAAAGAAGTTAGAAGTAGGTTGCCATCAAATAAATTGAGAGAACATTTAAAATGTATATTATACATATAGAATCTTTCTCTATCTATCTATCTATCTATCTATCTATCTATCTATCTATCTATCTATCTATCTATCTATCTATGAAAGGAGCTCTGGTAGTGTACTGGTTATGAATCAGGCTGCGAGCCTTAAGGTCAGCAGTTCGAAACTACCAGCTGCTGCTCTGTGGGAGAAAGATGAGGCTTTTACTCCCATAAAGATTTACAGCCTCGGAAATCCTGTAAGGGTCGCTATGGGTCGGAACCGACTTGACAGCACTTAACAACAACAACAATCTATCTATAAAACAAGAGAGAAAAACATATTTACAACAAAAAAACAAAGCAAACTTACTTCCTTGGGAGTTGGCGAACAGGCTGCTACACAAATTTTAAAGTGGAGAAGCACCAAAAGAAACCAGAGACCTCTAACCAAACAACCCATCTGGAATCCAAATACCTTTCAATATTAAATACTTCCCTTTTATCACCACACAGTTCTGAAAATATACTTTATCATAGCTGTTAAAGAAGCAGCTCCCAAGAGCCAGAAAGACTTCCTTGATCCAGATAATTGACATTTCAGATTCTATACCAGCAATAGATTTTAGATGATTCTCTGTTGGACACTGACTTATGAATTTCCAGGCCCAAGAAGTGTTTACACTGCCAAGACTTTTGTTTGTCAGAACTGTGATTCTAAGGAAAGTTGCTGGGTCAGTAGCTTGAAGTGATCCCAACACCATCACCAAGATCCCAACAAGGGTCATGTGGAGTAGGCAATGCACACTCCTGGTATGGCTTATATTATGCTGGCTTTCAAATTTGGGTTCCCAAACAACCCCATTTTTTGCTGGACAAGAAGAACCACAGACTGAACTCATCATATTCCCCATGGTTTTTAAAAAGCTTACTTTTCACTCTAAATTCTTTTTATCTTTGGAACATACAAACATCAACTCAGTAATTTCTATGCATTTGTCTTCCAAAGAAAGAAAAGACCCAATGGATTATTTTTTTTTAATCCCATAAAAGTCATATGAATCCAAAACCCTGACACACATTCTGGATAATTAGTAAGGTATTAGACAGAAAAGAAAAACACTGTTAATAATCTCAAATTCTCTTCCAATGATCCATTTTTGGTCTTTGAGTCTTTCTATATGAAAAGCTCTCCATTTATTTCTTTCCTTTTGCTTGACTACCAATACAAACAACTTCTTCTAAAACTCATCTGTTAGGTGGTCTGGTAATCAGTTTCATATGGGTGGGTTGCTGTGTTACTTTGAGGAGAGGAGGTAGGTAAACAATTATGAGTGAGGCTTCTAGAGTCAGATTTCCTTGGCTCAAATCTATCCCTTTTTGTAGGCCTGGGGAAAACTTTTAATCTCTGTAGGCCTGCCTCATCATCCTCATTTCTATACGATTGTAATATTATCTACAAATAAGGCTTTCTGTACAGCACCAGCAAACAGTAAGGGAACAATGATACATCTGAGCTCATTTAACATCTATGTGCTAAAGATACTACACACTTATTTATGCCATGTCATTCTCTTAACAACTCAGCAACTTCATTGTTATCTGTCCTATTTACACAGAGAGACTCAGAAAGGTTCACACTTGACCAGGTCTTTGTAGCTTCTAAGTAGGAAAGATGGAATCCCAACTCAGGACTGTTTAGTACCATAGTTTGTGCTTTCACCAGTATAACAAGCTTCTCATCTGTTTTGAGTATTTTATTTTATCCTTGTGCAAAAGCTGACTTGGGATTTTCCATATGGCATTAATTTTGTTGAAATATTGTCTCCTCGACTACACGGTAAAACCCTTGAGAGTGAGAGCTGATCATTTTATAAAGGGTGCACAGAAAGACAACTTGTGGTAGTGGAAACCAAAGCCTTTGGCTTAATGAGGCGAGGTGATGATCTATGGATTTTACTAGCTAGTGTTGGTACATATTAGTGATTCATGCTACACAAAGCATGATGGGTAGGCTCTACTTCCTGCTCCAACACAGACTCTCTCTAATTCCATTTGTTACTCTTGTCCCTTTTCTTCTTTCTCTTCTCACATCTTTTCAGTTCTGTTTCTTTGCATCTATATATTATTCATTGAATTGTTCTTTCTATAGGTTGTTCAGCCTGCATGTTGTCAAGTTAGTTCCAACTCATAGTGACCCCGTGTATGGTTTCCAAGACTGTAAATCTTTACGAGAATAAAAAGCCTCATCCTTCTCCTGCAGAACAGCTGGTGGATTCAAACTATTGACCTTCCAATTAACAGCCCAATGTGTAATATACTAGGTTACCAGGTCTCCTTTCTTTCAACAGGAGAGGATATAAAATGATATTATCATAGACATAGGGAATACACTGACATTTAAAATACAAAGTGGGTTCAGTCCAAGAACATGAATTAATATCTGTTAATTAATAGTATAAAGACGAGAATAATTTGCAGAAGGTCAAGACTGATACACAATAAAAAACTAACACCCTTTTGCTAGTTTTATGATTTTCACTGGGACAACAGAAATTTAAGTAGAATGGCCTGGTTACTTGCTGCTGGAGACAAGACCAACAATGTACTTATGGATACCCTAAGTCATTAATTTGGGTTATCTATTCTAAGACAGGTAAACACACAGGTAAACCTACACAAAGGCTAGACAATGGCTTTCAGTTGTGTGGATCATGACAAGCTATGGACAACACGGCTAAGAATGAGTATTCTGGAACATTTGATTGTCCTCATGAGGAACCTGTACATAGAACACGAGGCAGTTGTTCAAACAAAACAAGGGAACACCGAATGGTTTAAAATTAGGAAAGGTGTGCACCAGGGTTGTATTCTTTCACCATACTTATTCAATCTGTATGTTGAGCAAATAATCAGAGAAGCTGGATTATATGAAGAAAAACGTGGCATCAGGATTGGAGGAAGACTCATTAACAGCCTACAATATGCAGATGGCACAACCTTGCTTGCTGAAAGTAAAGAAGACTTAAAATAC